GCCAAAAATTAAGCACATTGTTAGAGACAGATGTTGGGACTAGCGCTAGGAATGCACCAGGTGCTGACTACCACCGAGGCTCCTGACTCCCAACTGCCTTTCCCATCAGTGCCACCATCCTCTCACCTGAGGATTGATCTTTGCACATCTTAGTCACCTAGGAAGAATTTGTACTCTAGCCTGTTCGAGATCCTTTAGCGCCAGTGTAGTTGGAGGTTGAGAATAAATTTTCTTATGGAGAAGGATAGGAAAGAAGGGACATGAGTGATAGTCTGGGACTGCCACCTGCGAGTAGAGATAAGTCAGTGGGACGTGCAGAAGCATTCCATCCACTCAGTCCCAAGGATGGCCTCTTTCAGTTTCCATACTAGGAGTCCTGTCCAAACTGCTCCCCTCCTAACGGCTCCAGTCAATAAGCAAATCCTGCTTGTGAATCTCCTAAGGGCACTGCTCTGAGAAGAATCTGGAAATGTATAGATACAGTTATTATATTTGTATAGGCTCAGAGCATATAATCAGACTACTACCAGTCTCAGGTGTGAGATTTCAGAAACTTCTGTGCTGATACCATCTCAAAACTTGGCCCAACCCAGGCAAGCTGAGCTCAGGACATAATTAATATCTAAAATTTTGTGTCCCAAATATTCTGGAAAATCCAAGACTGACTCATGGGATGGTCTGAGGGTGGCACTGGGGAGCAAGTCAGATTATTAGATAGCTGACTTTAGAAGGTGGTGGCAGGTGATGATGCTGTGAGCCCAACATGAGCAGACAACAGACTATGAAAGTTCAGAAGAGGAAGAGGCCATGTTGGCTGAGGTAATAGTGAAGCAGCATAAATATCTGCTGCCTTCTGCTAACGGGACTTCATATTTCTGTACTACTTCAGGGTTTCCCAAACACTTCCATGTCATCTGATTTCATTCTCAGCAACCCACAGGCCAGATATGACTAAATGGGATAAAATTAATAAAATATTAATAATAGTGTTTAGTGCATGGGTGTGTGCTCACTATTATTTTTAAAGTTATCACTACCCACCCCCGCTTTTGAGATGAGATCTTTCACTGTGCTGCCCAGGCTGACCTCAAAGTCCTGTACTCAAATGATGCTACTGTCTCAGCCTCCTGATTTGCAGGGGCCACAGGATGTGCCACTGTGCCCAGCTTTAACCCTATTTTACGCATGAGGAAAATAAGACTCAGAGAAGCAGTTATTTGTGCAAAGTCACACAACTGAGACTGGTAGTAGTATGCTTGAATTTAGTTCCCTGGCTACTGGTTCTAGAACTTATTCTACATTGTCCCACGCATAAGCTCAGCTTGCCTGGGTTGGGCCAAGTTTTGAGATGGTATCTGCACAGAAGTTTCTGAAATCATGCTCCTCAGCGTCACAAGCCCTAGTTGGGAACTGCATAGGAAATGACGAAGGCATTCTCATCCTTGAGTAACAACAATTAAATCTAGAAGCCTCTACTCATTTTAGCAATAAGGGGAGAGATGGTACATTACATGGTCCATCAAGGAAGCTACAAGCCATTAAACTTGCATAGGTCCTCAGCTGTTAGGCTTGTTAAGAAAATGTCACAATAGGGGGAAATTAACAACACAGGCAACACAGATATTTTTAGTCAGTGTTTCAAGGATGTCCATCTTGGGTTCTGTTTAGGATTGAGTACACTGAGATGAATTTTAGATTTATTTTACAAGACTGTCAATCCGAAAGTCAATATTGAGCAGCTACTCTCTTCTCATCTTATACAAGGGACTGTGCGGGAAAACTAAGGGAGGTGAAGTGCATTTCCCAAACTTTCAAACACTGATGAGAGTGGTATCATCTTTTTCTTAGGGGGGGAGAGCAGTTTGATAATGCATAAAACTATAATTATGTCTATTCCTTGTACCAGCAATTCCTCAGTAAATTATTTATCCTATGGATGTATTTTAAAACATAAACCAGGCCCTGGGGATATAGCTCAGTGGTAGTTTGCTTCCTATCATGCACACGGCCATGGGATCAATCCCCAGTACCACAAAAGTAAACAAACAAATCATTGTAGCACTATTTTTAATGGCAAAACCAAGAATCTATGGACCTAATGTTTACCAATAAATATTGGCTAAATTACTAATTGCCCTTTAAATGGAATTTCATGCAACTATTACAAAGAAGGAGGTCTATTGGTATGTGCTGAAAGCATATCACTAAGATACATGTTTAATTTCCAATAATGAACATAAGAACTCTTTTGGCATGATGCCATATGTGCATATTTGAAGCATATATGCTTGCACATATATCCACACTCCCACCCCCACCCATGCACCAGAGAGCTATGCCTATAACTAATATTGGGGAGTATGTGTGATACAAGAGTAATGGGAAAAGAGAACATTTAAAATTTTACCCTATTATATAATTTTTGAAGATAGGTAGGTAAGTAAATATAGATTGATTGATTTAACCATATGACACACCATTTTTTAACAATGTTAGCCTTTTGCCTAGGACAGGAAAGGGCACTGCCAAGAGTCATTCACACCCTAGACTGACTCCAGAGCCTATCCTCTGGATCCCAGCACACTGTCTCCTACTAGTAGTCTTTTAGTAATAGGAAAGACTTCTGTCATTTGCTAGCAAGTTCTAGAATTTTTCATGAAAATGCCTGGCATCAAAATATCCAAGGGCCAGAAGCTATAAAAACGTGCTCGTTCTCCAGAAGAGGGCTCTGTGCCCCTCTGCCCGCCATCTTGGCTCTTTTGCTCTAAGATTTTGGCTCAGCCAACAGGGGTCAGTGACCCTGGGCCAGGAAACACAAACTAAGATTTCCAACAGGACAAATTACCTTAAGGAAAAGGCATTAGGATAGCTGGGAGTGGGGGTGGAAGGGAGGCATGAAAACAGTTTTACTAGCCAACTTGGTCAATAGGCAGGTGCAGGAAGTGGCAGATAAAGCCAGCCAGGATCTATAAATATACTTCAATATCAGTGTTCAAACCCACAAAATAAATGCGTGAATTAGAAAACTTGGCAGCATGTGAGCATCTAGCTGTAAGCCCTTAGTTCTAGGCTCAACTCCTGTGAACTTTTCTGTGACTTGGGCATACTATTTAACTGTTCTGGGTTTCAGTCTCCCCAGCAATCAAATGGACAGTACTCTCTCTCCTGGCTTCTTCGAAGAGTTGTGTCAGTAAGTCAAGAAATGGGCTTTGAAAAATGCAAGTCTTTATACAGAATGAGAAGTATTGTAAATGTCTCTGAGACTTATCTCACAGGAGAGCTATTTTGAGACAGGAAGATAGGAAGCATCAGAAAAGCATTCTGATAGCACCATAAACAGACCTCAACCCATGAAAGAAAGTGACCTTGTGGGTCATTTGCTTGGTTTCTTTTTCTAGTCTTCTTAGACCTACAGAGTCTAAGATCTAATCTATGATTATGCCGCGCATAGACGGAGTAGTAACCAAAGGAATGATGTGCTCCCAACCCCCTGTGCGAGGGGCTTGCTGGGCTGTGAATGTGGATCACAGTCCTGGAAGCAAGCTGATGTGAAGCTAAGTAAGGAATTGGGGCAGAGGTGGGAGGGACGGACCTCAGTGATCCAGCTCAAGGATGGCTGAGTGCCTCAGAGGAGCAATTTCAGAGCGGCCAGGGACTTGGATAGGACAAATGACAACTTCCTAGAACAGGCTGTTCCAGAATCCATAGAGAAAAGGAAATAGCCTGGCCTCGTCCTGGGTAGGTTGACAGGAACCAGGCTAGGAAGTATTTGTAGTGGGATGACTAGTGTTCACAACATCATTAAGTCCATTTTGAATGGGAGGAGGGAAATGGAAAAAAAAAATTCAGGGCAGCACACATGGCAAGTCAGTTTTCATACTGTGGGAGAAAAGATGGAGAGAAGAAATCAGCAGAGGGAGGGAGCGCTGTGCCATGTGACGGGCCCTGGGCTCCGAGTCCCATGGGCTCGGGTAAAATACCAGCTCCGTCACTGACTTGCTAAATAACTTTCACTGTGCCTTTTCCTCCTCCCAATCTTGGTTTTCTTGATTTTAAAATGAAGACCTCTCTCCCATTTCATTACTTGTTATGAGAATTAAGTGAAATGTTCTTGAAAATAACGAGCATGTAATTTCTAGAACACAATGCCCCATAAATTCCTTTATTATGGAAAGAAATTCCCAGAAAATTTCTAATGAAACATGTCAGTTGGAAATTGTAAATACTGACAAAGCAAGCCTGACCTACCTAATGGATACCGTGTGAAAAGGCCCTTTGTACAGTGGAGAACCAGCCTAAATGGGCAAAGAAGATTTTATGGGGAGGGTGGGTTAGAGGCAAGATAAAACTGGATATAAATGGAGGAATCAATGAAGTCTGCTTATGAGGGACCATTATGCCATTAATGTGTTAATTTGTGGTTCCCCTAGGACCATGACAATCTGGGAAGATACTGTGGGCTGCATAACTCAGCTTGACTCCTTTTTTTTTTTTTCTTGACTACTCGGAAATACAGCATAAGTTTCATGTTCATTCATGGTAGCTTTCCTCAGTCACCTCCTCTCCTTGTACAAGTGTGAAGAGATGAAGGGTTAATACCAATTACTTCAAAAACTCTAAGTCCACAGCTAGAAAATCAGAGTGAAACAAAGGATCAGAAGACAAAGAAACCACAGAATAGACTAGGTCTAACATTGACCTAGTCTTACCAAGAATAACATTGAGCCAATTTTTATTTCTAGATTCTTATAGCCAAATACCAGGGATATTATCACAAAATCTTGAAAGCTGAGAGTCCGAGTGCTTTGGGTCATTTTACAGGTGGGTAATTTGAGGCCAACTGAGGGTGGTTTGCTTGAGAGCTTATGACGACCCAAGTAGCAGGGACAGTCTCATTCTGCGGTCCAGTCTGTTGTAATCCTCTTCTTTGTGAGACTAAACGTCTGACTCCAGACACTTGCACAAAACTAATTTGTGTTTTTTTGTTTTCCTTTCTCCAGGGCCAAGTGCTTTCGGGGCAAAAAAGTCCTTGGGGATTATGATATCAAGGTGGAACAGGTAACAAGCCCAAAGTCCCAGATTGCATCTGTGACATCACCATTCCCTTGGGCATCCTGGAGTGACCCCTCTAGTTCTGCCAAGTGGAGTACAGTGTCTGCCATTGGGTTCTGGGCTCTCCACAGTCCTGAAGGCTGCTCCTTTTTATATCTTTGACTTATTTTTACGATTCCGATATCAGGAAGGAGACAAGAAGTGTGGCTCTTAGAGCCACGTGCAGGCTGAGGAAGACCTTGAAGGAATGTCTTCCTAGGGCGTTGGCCATACCTCCATGTCCTTGGTGGCAGCATCTTCCAGGGTAGGCACATGTGGGTCGTTGAGGTGTGCTGCCTCCAGTAATACTGACCCTGGGCCTACGGCCAACTTCAGAGGGATCTTAGAAAAGAGCACACCTTTGTTTTAATACAGGGAAATCCAAAAAAAGTACATTTTCACCTTCTAACCCTTGCTTCATGATAAGTAGATGACCAAATCCATTTGGGAAGAGGGGGATGTCCAGTTTAAACAATGAATATATTTTCTAGGTAATGATAGAATTTACTCCTCATTCATTGCACGGTGTGTTGTGGCTGCCAGAGAACTTTCTGTTATTGCATTCGGTTCTTAAAACACCTTGTCAGACAGGCCAGGTTGATAAAAATTATTTCCATTTTGTAGATGGAGGAAACTGAACCCCAGGCAAGACAAGTAACTCGCTTAACATGTTGTGCTGCTAGTTGGGGGAAGAGTAGAACTAAATTCCAGTTACCTAAACTAACATCTAGGGCTTTTATGTTGAAACTGGAGAAAAAGGGGACATTTGTCCTGTTCATTCCTTCATTGTTAAAAGGCAGCACAAGGGTGCCAGGATGGGGGGTCACAAGACCCCAGTTTTGTTCCTGTTTTTTTCCAATGAGAAGTTTTGTTTGTCCATTTCCTCTTTTGGTAATGATTTATGTCCCACCTGCCTCATAGAGTCACTATGAGAATTGGATGAAGTTGGTATGTGAAAACACTTTGAAAACTATAAGTCAGTGTTTGGTGGCGTGGTGGTGGTGGCTGCTGCTATATGGGAGACTTGGCGGTCAGGACCGTGAACTTACTGACCTACTGTTATTTTCCAGGCGGAATTTTCAGAGCTCAACTTGGTGGCTCATGCAGATGGGACCTACGCTGTGGATATGCAGGTGCTGAGGAATGGCACGAAGGTTGTTCGGTAAAAGCCTTTTTGTCCTCCGGGTCACCGTCACTGTCTCCATTATAACTTGAAGAGGTGGTTTCAAAGTCCAGTGTTAGCATGAGACAGCCGTGCTGTGTGCGGTGCAGAGAAGTAAAGGATGTGTGTGGCATGGAAGGGGGGACAGAGAGGGCAGTCCTCCTGCTTTTCAGAGTTCCCAGTCCCCTGGTAGACAAAACACCCTGAAGCGTCAAGGACTCAGAGCTCACTTAGAGGTAACTGGCTTCCTACTAGTCTCCTGCCCCGCCCGCAGTCAGTACATGCTGTACTCCCGCCATAATTCCCCCTGGAAAACGAGGTCCCATAGCTTTTTAAAAAAGTTTGAAAACATCTAGTTCAACTTTCCATTTTATGTTGATTTGCTTTGTTTCACCCAGTTGGTGGCAAGCTCTGTGTTCTTGATGAGTTCTTTTGACTCTCAGTTCTGTGTTCTTTTTATATTTCTCATTCCTGGGAACTTGTGTCTCATAGAAAAACCTAAGATTGGAACAGACATTGTGGGTGGAAAAAAATTAGCAATTTTTGAACACTTCCATGGCAGGTGATATGCTGGGTGCCTTAAAGATGGGAGATTTTCTTACACTTAATAGTTCTTTGACAGAGACAATGAGAATTCCAGATGGTGGGGAATGGTTTTTACAGTGTCGTTCCAGGAGTTCACTGTGGTTTCAGGTTTTCAGAAATCAGTCTTGTTCTAGGAAGAGTCTGTAGCTCACCTTCTTTCCACCTCAGTCTGCTCAGACCCAATAGCACCTGGGTCAGTGACAGGAGAGGCCAGACTGGGGGTAGACGGGACCTAACCACAGTGAGTGCACTCATTCTGGAGACTAAAGAGAAGACAGAAATGTCCACCCAGGTGAGAAGTGAGTTCAGTTTGATCCTACAACAGAGGATGGATGGGATCCTCCAAGTGCAAGTAGTATGTGTCATGGAGATACACACACAAGCAGGTAATGACAAAAAGGTCCAGGAGCAGGACAGCAGGAGGGAACTGGCAAGAATTAGGTGGAGCCCTTCCGAGTGCCAGTGTAGGAATTCAGGGACTGGCTGTACATCTAGCGCTCCATTCCTGTAACTGCAATATAGGGTTGGAGATTGATCTCAGGCGTATAAGGCTTCCAGTATCAGGATCTAGGTCAGTGACAGAAAGGCCTTGTAACAACAGGTCCCAGAACTGAGGACAAGGTCACAGCAGCCCAAGCAGATGTCACGCTGACTTGATGCTAAGTCCCTGAGAGACTGAGAACTCCTTCAACCCCCACTCCTAAGCCCTGATCTCTGAGTTTGGGTGGGGCTAAGTCTGTAGGTGGCGGTTGGATGAGTGCCTGGCAGAGAACCAGGTAGGTCATGCACACGGTGTGAAACTGCTGAGCCTTGGAGCCGTGGAGGTGGGTGCTGCCACACACCTTCTCTCTGAGAAGACTTGTGAGGTGAGGGCATGAAGACAGGAGCCTTGTCCTGTGGAGAGCAGTGGCCAGGCACTTTGCTGGCTGGAGGTGAAATGGGAGCTTTCCCGTGCATCAGAACATTCCGTATTCTCAGTGCTTCCTGCAGCCGTTGCTCAACCTCAGTTCTGCAAAAAATATTTGTACCCCTTCCCAGCATCCGCTTTGGAAGAAGAATACCACTGGGAAGTTTGGCATCTGTTCTCAGCCAGCCTGGCCCCTTGCTCTCCTGGGGACCTGATGAGCGCATTGCCTATTTTAAGGAGCAGATTTAAGGACTCTGAACAGGACACTGAGGTCAGACCTCATGGCAGTGTGCTTTAGGCAGCCTTTTGTGTTATCTTCAGAGTCTTCCAGGACCCTCCTTGAGCACCAACTTTGGAAACACAAGGAGCTTCACTTAAGTTGTGAAGGTTTAAAAGTGTTTATTCCCTCCTGAAGCTATTTATGCTTTGTCCAAAGGAGTAAGAGAATTTCAGAAGTCCATTCCTCAAATCCCCTTTGAAAAGTACTATAACATTTCATTTCCCAGCCCAGGAAGGAATAATAATAATAAAATGAGGGTGACAGACTAGGTGGTCCCTAATACATCTTCTCTGACTTGGGCTTTGGAAATGGGAGACAAGATGATGTGTAACGTGAGGAGCTGAGTAATGGAAAAACTGCCTCTGCGTTCTTACCAGGTCCTTCCGGCCAGACTTTGTGCTCATCCGGCAGCATGCGTTTGGCATGGCAGAGAACGAGGATTTCCGCCACTTGATCATTGGCATGCAGTATGCAGGCCTCCCCAGCATCAATTCTCTGGAATCCATTTACAACTTCTGTGACAAGCCATGGGTGGTGAGTGAGGCTTCCCTTCCTCTCAAGTAAAAGGGTGGGACCAGTCTCCCAGTCTCCCAGGAGGGACCTTGGTACTCCACTGGTAGGCACCAGCTGAGAGGATATGAGAGGAGCCCCAGCTGGACCATGGGGCAGGTCCTCACAACAACATGTAACCACCTGTCACAGTTTGGGCACCTTTGCTGCAGAGTGAAACTTTGGCTTTTCAACCAAGTAGTACAGATATTCTTTTTTTTTTTTTTAAGAGAGAGAGAGAGAGAGAATTTTTTAATATTTACTTTTTTAGTTTTTCAGCGGGCACAATATCTTTGTTTGTATGTGGTGCTGGGGATTGAACCCAGGCCACACGCATGCCAGGCGAGCGCACTACTTCTTGAGCCACATCCTCAGCCCCTAGTACAGATATTCTGTGAAAGAGTCCTTACAGGTCTGTAGGCTCTGCCCCTGACAGTTGGTGGCAAGGATAAAAATGCCTTTTTCTCGCCGTTTCGAATGGCTAGACTAACTACTAGAGAGGCCTGAGCCCAGTGAAACCAAGGAAATGGTCCAGCTGAGAGAGGTATGAGTGACATAGTCCTATCAAGTGTCTCAACAACATTAGAGTAAGATTTATCCAGATACACATGGACCAGTCACATACATGAATTGTAAGGTATCCTTTGAGATCATCAGATCTGACTGCTTTACAGTAGGGATATGAAAATTGAAGAAGATAAAGAGTGTAATACCACTTACTATAAGGTGCCAACCTCTGAGATTTTCCTGTGTTAATATAATTTAATCCAGGCTGGGGTCGTGGCTCTGTGGTAGTGCGCTTGCCTGGCATGTGTGAGGCACTGGGTTTGATTCTCAGCACAACATATAAATAAATGAATAAAATAAAGGTCCATCAACATCTAAAAAATTTTTTAAAATATCATTTAATCCTCATGGTAACCTTACAAAAAATCATCATCACCATTATTAATTTTTTGTTTTACAGAAAAGCAAGACTCAGAAAGGATTAAGTAACTCGCCAAAGTTATAGAGCCAGAATTTCTCTAGATCACACTGCCCCTCATGTAGATTGGGCTACTCTGAGGAAAAGATGGTCTGGTTTTCTCTTCCTTAGTCAGTCTATAGATCTGGGAGAGAATTTGACACTTGTAAGCAGAAAAAGGAACGTGTGAGCTTGACAGGGAGAGTGACCTGTGATTGCTCCTGGGGCACTCTGGCCTCCACTCTGACACTGAGGGGACCCAGCTCCTCTGCTGTAGCTCTGCTACACCCGGCTGGCCATCTCTGAAAGAAATGCCTGTTCCCATCACATCTTCTTCACGTTTTGCAAAAATGAGATTTCAGCCATCACACACATGACCGCCAAGAGCTAGAGTCTAGGGAGGGTGGTTGACCAAACAGATCCGTCTCCTTGCTCTGGATTTCTTTCCACACCTGAACTGACAGCTTTCCTGTGGCCCTGGATGCCATCCTGGGCCTCACAATGTAAGAGGAAGAGCAGTGAGCAGGAGTGAGGAGGCCTAGGAGCCACTGTGGTGAAGGAGCGGGTTGGGTTCCTGAGTCCACTTTCCCTGTGAGTGGCCTGAGGCATCTGCAACCCTAGAATTCTGCAGAAACAGGCTAAAGGGGTTTGATCTGAGTGTGTCATCGATCCCAGAAGAGCACGAAGGAGGCCTTCACCGCGTGTCACCTGGCCTTCCTCCTATACTTTTATGCCCTAACCCACCCGCCACTGGCACCCCCAGGACTCTACCATTGTGGTTCACTCCACCATTGAACCACATCCTTAGCAGAAGTTGGCTGCCTTGTAGCCACACAGGCTGATGCCACTATTATCAGCTTTTTCTGAATAATTTTACTACTTATCAGCCCTCTGACTAAACCTGTGTCCTGGTTTCTTTGTCTACAAACTGGGATTAATATTATTACCTGCTTCTTCTTTGCTAGCCTGGTTGTTACAGTCCCCCAGTGTCTGAAACCTCATAAAGAAACTAGTTCCCTATTTTTTTTTAACCTAAACTGTGGCAGAGGCCAGAGATGGAACAGGGAGAGCCTATGCCTAGGGCTTTGCCCCCGTGGGAGCTGGGATCTGGTGAGGGGTCACACTCTCACCCATTCACAATCCCAGCACATTGCCTTTGGCATTGCATGAGAACAACAGGGCTCCCTGGCCACACACCAAATTTTCCCTTCAGTTTGACTAAGCAGCTTACACAAATGACATTTTACATATTGTTCTCTGCCTGTTAATGGAAGTGGACAAATTTGGTGACTAAGGGGAGGGTCCCTTTGAGATGATGACTTTGGCTCATGTTTCTAAATTTCTTAACTGTGGCTGCTCTGGATGTCAGGAAACCTCCAGTGAGTTGCAAAGGGTACTGCCTTGCACATCTGAACACATCTGTTGTCTCTGAAATTGGTCAAGGCAGGCCACTGGATTTTCAGAAGCAAAAATGAGGCTTTCAATGAAAGCATTCCAGAGAAAGTAAGAATGCCACCACCCCTTATTGCTCTAAATTTATCGGAATTCCTGTCAATCTTTCTGGTTTGTTTCTCTTCTCTTCTCTCCAGTGCTATTGATAGAACCCAGGGCCTCACACATGCCAGGCAAGCACTCTACCATTGAACCACATCCTTAGCCCACTTTCTGAGTTCTTTAGTGACAGATGAAGCAAGGTCAAGTTAAAGCATTTAAGTTCCAGGAGAGATAGGGATAACATATTATTTACACGGATCTTGAAATCTCATTTCTTCCATGAATTCTTTCTTGCTTCATTGAGTAATTGGTTATAAGGAGAATTTCTTCCTATTCATTGCCAATCGCACCCCAGCTCCCAAATTCACTCTTTTATTGTGCTTAGAGGAAATAGCCCTTATCAGATATTATATTTGTTTAGTTGGTAACCATGTACCTGTGACTTTCTCTAAGTCTCCAGGGAGGCAGAGGTTAGATGCCAAGCCTAATAGCTTGAGCAGACAGGGACTGCTGGAAATCAGGTGAGGAGGGTGGAGTGAGCTCCCTGGGACCCAGCTAAAGCCTGGGAACTGGCTGTCATTTTGGTCTTGGCTGTCCTAGGGCCCTGAGAGTCTGCCGCAGGCCTTCCTGGCATCCGTGCGGTGTCTGTGTAACTCCCCCACATGCAGGGCAGATAGGGCCCCACATGCCTTAGTACCTTGCCAGAGCGTGGGCTGCAGCAGGACAGAGGTTGTTAGGCAGAGTTGGCATCAGCTCTCTGGGGACGCTGGAGAGCCTCAAGAGTCCAGGCAGAGCAGGAGACTAGCTGGGCCCATGTGGGCAGGCAGATGAGATTGTGGGGAGAATCAAAGAAGATAGGGAGATAGGTCTGAGGAGACAGTCTTGACATTCAGTGCAAACTGAAGAATAAAGAGGAGAGCAGCAGGGTACAATGGAGGGTGCACTGGGCACAGGGAAGAGTCCTGAGCCCTCCCCCAGGGAAGCCCCCATTCCAGCCTCCACCCTCCCCTGCTTCGCTAGCCTGTCACTTCATTTTTGAAGCAGGAGATCTGGTCTGGAGATTGCTGTCTTTTTCAGCAATAAAATCTTTGTTTAATGAGAGTCCTAGAGACCTTAGAGCTCCGGAGTCACCAATTATGTGTCACCAGAGGGTGTGGCCCAGGAATTCCAATATTTTCTACCATTTCAAAAATAATATCTTTGCCCTTAAAATCATCTGCCACAACAGATGATTACTTAAACTGCAGTTATTTAGTGGAGTGTGGGAGGAAATCTAATAAAGGGATATTCTGTGTGGTACAGAATTTGAGGAACAGATCAAATTTAACCCTCTCATTTTATATGTGAAGAAAATGAGAAGTAATCTCTTGTCTAGAGATATCTAGCAAGTTAGGAGGAAGAAAAAGAACTAGAAGACTCCAATTTTCTAATAACCTGGCTGAGCTCTTCCTACTCTAACCCCTTTTCCTCTGCCTGGCTTGTGGGCCAGCATCCCTTCCTTATAGAGAGTATCACCTGAGCTTTTAAAAATTGTCCTGGCTTTTCTTTCTGATAAGTAGAAGCTAAGTTTGATCAGTCAACTTTCCATTCTAGCTCTTCTAGATACTGGTGGCTTGGAGTATGAACTAATCCCATAGTGCTAGAGAGAAACTTTGCCCTGTTGCTCATACATGGGGGTCTTGGCTGGACAGGAAAGTCCTGGGTCTCCTGTGGGGAGAGCATGGTCTCTGCAGAGCCTCATAGGCAATTACTTGAAGGAACTGGGAGAGTTAGAGGTTGGGAATTAAGGGCCCTAGCTGTAACTCTGCTCAACAACTATACAACTGGGCAAGTGACTTGTTGCATCTGAGTTTCTTCATTTATAAACGGGAGAGGGGTGCTGGCTGGGTGCCAAAAGCCCTTTAACCTGACACTATATATATATATACTCTGCCTCTGCTCCTTGAAGCTATCCCATTTCTCAAAGGGGAAAGGTCCAACAAGTTGAGTCCTTGGATAAGTCAGTCCCAGAAAGACTAGGCCGATCTATCGTACACATCATAACCATCTAAATCTTTCTAAAGAATAGCTTTATTCTTGACATTCTCTGCCAATTTCTGGGGACTCCATACAGCTCCATGAAAAAACTTCCATTCTTTTGACTGACACTTGAACTTCCAAGAATTGGCCCTATAACCTCTCTAGCTTTTTCCTGGTCTATTGGTCAGATAAGCAGGTATTTTCAGTGAAGAGACCCAAGATTCAGTCCTAGAATCACTTCTCTTTTCAGTCCTGGGATTTTAGTTCAGTTTCTTACCCACTCTGTGTTATGTATATAAAATAAAGATAAGACACCTACTTCATCAGTTTGATATTAAATGAAATACCATTAAAACTGAATAAGTGCTCAATTAAAGTGCTTGCCTTCTCTCTCTCTCTCTCTCCTCTCTCTCTTTCTCTCTCTCTCTCTCTTTCCCTTCCCCAACTAAAGCGTATGTTCCTTGAGAACAGAAATTAGATATTCACTTATGTCTTGAGTGCTTAGTACAAAGCCTTCAGTAGAGAAAGTGCTCAGTATTTGTTTCATGGATTGATGCTTTGTCCCCCTGTTCCAGAAATTGTCCTAAGTAAGCTGAAATGTTTTCTTCTCTTTTGCAGTTTGCCCAGATGGTGGCCATCTACAAGACACTTGGAGGAGACAAGTTCCCACTCATTGAGCAAACATACTACCCCAACCACAAAGAGATGGTAGGTGCAAAGTAGGGACTGAGTCTCTGCTGTTTGCCCTCTGAGCTTAATTAACCACATGGATCTCACCATCTCAACCCCAAAGATTCCACTGGAATGGAACTATCAAGTCACTTTGTGGAGCTATAGTTACTGGATTTTGGCCAACAACCTCTTGTTTTTAAATTCTGGAGACAGAATAGACAACAACAAGGGCAGTTTAATAAATCTAAGGGAGTAACTAACCTGTGGACCAACAATCAGAAGATCTCACTACTTAGAGTTGCATCTCTGGCTCTGCCAGGTATCTCTGCAAGTTACATTTCCTCACTCTTGTGTCAGTTTTCCAACCACCCAGGTGGGCAAAACTATCCCTGACCAGGATGTCTAACACGATAGGTACAAAACTTAGAGTCTCTTAATAATAGCTTTCTGATACGTGAAGCTCTCCTTAGATATAAGCTGTTGCTCTTGTATTATTCACCAGACTTCCATTCCCTTGGCTTCCTCCAATTGGGATAAGGCTGGGCTAACCCTGTGCTTTTTCTGAGTCCAATCTAGGAGGTCAGAAAAATCAGCGAGATGGGATGTTTTGTCCATAGAAGGCTGTGACTAAGGATTTTCCTCCAGCAGAGCCTGGAGCTCAAGCTCCTAACTTCCTTACTGTCCACACCCTCTGCCCAAGGCTGGTGTGATCAGATGTGATCCTGCTTAACCCACCAGTGGAAACTAGCTGCCAAAGCCTTGCAAGTATTGTGCTCTGGGACGAAGACCATGTTGTTCACCTTCCTATTCCTTCCCCCAAAAGGGATCTCCATTTGCAGCATTTCTGTGAATCCTGAGCCTTCTTCTAGCACATTGTACATAACCCTGCTTACCCATCAGACCACACATATGGGAGATTTGGGGCTGGAGGGAGAGGAGTTGGACCTTGAAAAGAACTATGTCCAACATCATCTTCACCAGAACTTCCTCAGGGAGAGGCTCTGGAATTTTAAACCCTTGCCCTAAATAAATCCTAGAGGTTAATATGAGGATTTTCCCTTGTAAGGCAAGCCAGGAAGGTTTGCAGAAGGCCTGAGGAACCCTGAGGGGCCAAGGCTGGAAATCTCAGGTAGTCTAGGACACAAAGAGGAGGCAGGCAATGAAAGAAGTCTCTGAGGATCAAAGCAATTTTTTCCTGCTATAACATCTAGCAGGGCTGACCAATGGGGAAGAAAATTACATTAAGTGCAGGATATATTCCTCCTCTTTTCCCCCAGGGTCCTTGTGATATTTCTCTCCTATCCTCTTATCCTGAAATATGCACCCAAGAGGTCATCTCTCAGGATGTCAAAAGCTGATGAAGGGGTAACTTCCACTCTGCAAGAGAAAGGCCTTTTGGCTTAAAAAAAGAAAAAAGGCTCAATCCTTGGTACCACATAAAGATAAATGAATAAAATAAAGGTCCATCTACAACTAAGAAAAAGAAAAGTTTAAAAAAAAAAGAGTCATTAAGTAGGAATGAAGACATTAGTAACCTTAAAGAGGTAGAAGGGACAGCCTCTGGACATCAGCTGAGGGAACCAGGAATAGTTAACCTGGAGGGAAAGTATTCATTCCTAGACAGCAAGTATTCATTCCTAGACAGATAGTCTGCTCCTATCCAAAGGTGTGCTAGGATCTTCTGCCAGGAATGGTGTCAAGGGGATTGCCGTACAGAGAGGAAGGTGAGGCTGTTTAGCTCTCACACAGAGTGATTCTGGGTCCCCTAAGTAGATGAGAGTACATGAGAGGATTAGGATGAATGGAGTTAGTAGGAGTAGAGGACACATAGCTATAGTGTTGTTCATTTCATTACCACTGTGGTCAACCCATCTTCTGTTACTCTACATCACAGGGCTGCACCATTTCATAGGTATAACATTCACCGTTTCTCCCCTATCAGATCATTTAAGGTAAACAACACTTATTTTCCTGGGGAGAAAAGGAATTAGTCTTGGTCTTGGAAAACAAACTAAACCAGATCAAAACTTTCGATAATAGATTAAACTATTGCGGGTAGGGGTTGGGAGGAAGGAGAGAAGGAATGAGGTCAGGACAAAAAAGTCATGCTACCTTCCCAGGTTATGGACTAGGCTCTTAGACACAAGAGTAATGTTCCCCATCCCTGCCATGATGTTGGTAAGGCCTTCCACTTGGCACTTCCCATTGGCTGGCAGCAACAGGGTAGATGGTAACAGAGTTCCACAGTGAAGGATTGGTCTTCAGGTCTCTCGAAAGGCTGTGGTGGTCACTGGTCTTTACTAAGGCTCGATGACGTCAACAAACTCCTCCCTATTGGGGTGGTGTTGTACCAGCTGCCATTTGCAGCTGCCATCCTCATTCTTCTTGCAGAAAAAATGGTGGGCCTGGTTCCCATAGAGCTTCCGTTCCAACAGCCAGTCTGTCCAGAGACACTGATTGCGCATCGATTTGTTACAGGTCGGTGAGTAGCAGATGGTAACCTAGAGTCATAGCCACAAAATCAGAGTGAGGAAAAGGCCCTTCCTCTTCTGTTGCTGCTGTCAGACCCCAACATATCCTCCCAGCCCTTTTCGACTGCCCCCCATGTCTTATGAAGCCTTTCCTCATCCCCACTCTTCCCCTGAATTCTCTTGCCCCATGCTCCTTGTGTAAGAATTACCTTTCTAATATTTCTGGAATCTACTACTGACCTTGAGCAAGTACTTCACTTCCCAGAGCTTTGATTTCTTTACCTTAAAATGGAAGTCTTTTTTCTTTACAAATGTGTTATGGAGACCAAATTAAATATTTAAAATAAATTGACTACTACAGGGTCCAGCAACAAGTAGGCTCTCTCTAAATAGTGGCTGTGATAAAGTCATCTCCTTCTGCTTTATATGATGACCACTCAACCAGCCAAAATGTTAAGTTCTTTGAGGTCAGGGACTATGGACTCTTTCTTGCTTTTTCACCCCCAACTTCATGCAGTGTCTGATCCATATTTCAAGTAGAATATGATTGATAAATAAATACATGAAGGAAAGAATCATGAAGGGTGAATCTACAAGGCTTAAGACCCTCACCCACCCCAGATCGTCTTAGAAATGGACCCCCCTCACTTCGCAGTCACAGTTGAAAAGATAGTGGTGATTCAGACTCTCTCTCTGCGCCATGGACACGTTTTCCCAAGGCTGGATATAGTTACACATATTGATGAAGATTTTTCCACCATTGAGAACATTACCTTCATGGGGAGATAGAAGAGAATATAATATCAGAACTTTGCTCCTAGAGTCCTGGGTCCTTCAAGAACCCAGAATTATAGCCAATGACGAGCCAAAGCTCCAGTGGTTGGTTGGTTTATTTGTTTGCTTATTTTTAAAATATTTTTTTTTTTAGTTCTACACGATACCTTTATTTTGTTTATTTATTTTTATGTGGCGCTAAGGATCGAACCCAGGTCCTTGCACATGCTAGGCAAGCACTCTACTGCTGGGCCACAACCCCAGCCCCTGTTAATTTATTTATCTATTTATTACTGGCAATTAAACCCAGGCCTTGCATATGCTTTGCCACTGAGCTACACCACAATCTCCAATGGCTTTTTTTTTTCCCAATGAAAAAAATCAGAATTTTATTTTAAGGCATATTCATTTGAAAGAATGAAGGAAACACAATTTCTAGCTACAAATAGCAATGTTTTAAATTTAGATATAGAGATTTGTAAACAATAAAATGTATTGATTTTTAATTTTCAGTGTTTAACTGTGAATTACCAAAATTAGACCAAAGGTTGATACGGATCTTTGTTTTAATTAAGAAACCTGATGTAAATTTTATCTGTTAACCTCTACTTCTTGAGCTTCTGCATCTTATTGAATCTTCCAACAAAATAACTCAGGGGCCTCTGTGCTGGTTAAAAATATGCCTCAGTGGGCAAGGTCCAGTGGCTTTTTGATAGGAGTAGTGATATGGGGCTCAATGAAGGAACTAGAAAAAAAAACTATACTTTTTATAGCAGGAGATTAACATATTATGCTTGTGCAAGGTAGAATTGTGGGGTCTGGTGAAGACATTTTTCTTTAGTAGGTACAGAGAGAAGGTGGGCTTTAAAATCAGACTTCAGGAGCTCTGGGGGGTGTAGCTGAAATAGGTGCTTTCCTAGCATGTGTAATGTCTTGGATTTAATCCCTAAAAAAATAAAAGTGAGACTCTATGTGGGATCCTCTTCTTTTCAATTACTTGCTGTATAACCTTAAAGAAAATCACAAAATCTTTCAACTGGAAGATAATAATAAAAAAGTTTGGTCAATATTAAATGAGAAATGTCTGTAGAATTCCCCATACAGTTGAAGACTCACAGAAAATGTTCAATAAATAATAGGATCCCTTCCCCTTTCCAGTCTTTCCCAATATCTACCTAGGCCAGTCTTCTGTCCCCTGGTGAGTCTTTGCACATTAGAAAGTTCCCCTTCTTCCCTACCAAGCTCCTTCCCATCTTTCAAAGATCCTTTTTAATAATACCTTGTCCTTGTTGTGACCATGCAGGCCTTCACATCTCCTAGAACTTCCATTGCTCAGTCATTTGCTCACAAATCACAGCAGCTAGAACCCAGTACCAGGAATACAGAAATAAATAGGACAGGACTCTGCCTCCAAGAAACTTCAAATGTGACTGATAAGTAGGCAAAAATGACCCTATGGTATGATTATATAGAAGATGTAGTGTAAGAGCAAAGGAGGTCCAGTTATCACCAGGTAAGGAACAGGCAGAGTGGAAAAAAAGTGTCTCTGAGGAGGGAAGGTTGTGCTGTGCTTAGAAGGGATGGGGAGGACTTCATCTGTCAAATAAGTGGAGGTCTTCTGAACGTTGGGACTGTCCTACACAAAGGCAGAATGACATCCCATTGGCACACCTTCTGCAGCTCCAAATTGTTTATTTCAGCTCTGGGAGAAGAAGGGTCAAGGAACTATTTTGACAGATAGCAGAAGACCAAGCTAGAAAGGTCAGCAGCGTTCTGGTCTCAAAGGGCTTT